TCATTCTGCTGAAGGCTGATTTTCCCCTCAATCGTTTCGATTTCCGGGTTTGAAACCACCGGAAAAGATTCGCTATCAGGAAAACCCGAGAATAATCATTTGTTTTTGTTCGCGTGCCAGCGAGAAGGGTATGCGGTGGCAAAAGAGAGGAGAGGGCTTTAGGACTTCAGTTAACCATCAGCGAGATAAATCTGAGGAATGCAGAAGAAAAACGTGCAACGAAAATGTCTGGAAGCCTCAACCTTGAAACATGGACGCATTAAGCTATCGATCTCATCGTTAGTTATTTTGTCCGGGAGGGGGGGATGTTGCATTATATGATTGATTTTGTTTTCTAATTGGTCATTCAGGGATGGCAGGGAGAAACTATGCAGTCGCTGTTCCCAAATAATCCTGAAAGTGAGTTGGGTACAGCATCATCAAAGTTATTCAGATATCGGGGAAGAGATTTATCTCATGATAGTGGAAATGCTCAAATGCTCAATTTTCACACTGGGTCAAAGAAATGCTTCCCGATAGTACCGATTTGCTTCGCTCTTTCGCCTGAGGTCCCATAACAAGGGACGACGGGTGCATTGACAATTCCGTCTGGAAATTAGTAAATAATCTGCGTTCCATTATTATTGTACGCTCTATTGAAATATTCTGAGCCTGTTATTTATTGTTTCTAAATAAAACCATAATACGAAATTATCTTGACCAACTGCTGCAGTCAAGGTAACGATAAAAACGAGATCAATCTGATGGAACATTCGTCTGGACTATTTCTGTTTGGCCCGTGTGTAGCAGGACCATCTACGGTGCATCACTCGTGATAAACTGAACCCTGGAAAAATACAAAAGAAAGCCAAATCGGCCCCTAGGATCGGTTTCTCATCAAAGGCAAATGAGAGATTCTTAGTTTTCGAGGCTATTGAAACACGGTAATAATAATGAATCCATGTCACCTATATATCCTAGGAAGAAAGATTTAAATTTTGCACCATGAACTTTCAAAGCTTTTTTGCTAACGTGTTTTAGTGCGACATTGAAGACATTACTTTCTAAACTACTCCGAAATGATCAACTGCGGGGATCCAATTTTCAATAGTTTGTTTAAATTATTGCATACATATACAACCCTATTTAAACTTTATCGATACAGCACCAACAAGTAATAAGATTTCGGTATCAATAAATACAAATATCGTTGTAACATTCGTTGGCTTGTTTTCTCGATGTAAGGCCACTTCGTGCTATTTGACAACTATTTGCCTGCATGAAACGTTTTATATAAGTTGAGTTATCAAACAGCTTAGGCTGATGACCGCTTTTGAAAAGCATTCAACCCGGAAACAGATAGGTTTTATCGTTAAAGAAATAATAAGCAATAATGTGGTTTAAACGATAAGTTTTTCTACTGCATAGAGAAAATGAAGGATGAACTGAGAAGCTAAAAATCATCGTACAGCAGTTTCAACCAGGCTTATTCTCAACAGCATGGCAAATCCATCGACTCAACTGGGACTCGAACCCGGGACCTCAAGAAAGAAAGTACGTAAACTGACCACCAAACCAGCGGGCAGCAGAAAAGACCGTTTTCCATTTTTTTACACGAGTTAGCACGACCTATCATTGTGAGCTCGTTACGGTGTGTTACACTTCGCAAATCTCAGCATTCGCCTCATAGGTTGTGAATCGATCGAAAATATTCTAACCTGTCTACATGTTACAGCTTTTTACTTCACGCTTAATTTATCTTGTACACGACATAAATCACCGTATTCAGGAGGTATCAACTCATCCACTACATCCTTTTACAAAGCTATTCAAGTGAATGATCTTACTATTATCATAATATTGATCGGTAATATTGATATACATCCCGTCAGACTATATGTTCCTCTTATCGATCCCTGACTGGATTCACATTCTGACTACTGATTGATGTCATCGGATTTTTGGTGCACCTCCCTGTCCACCTTAGTCCTTCTAATAATTGAATTGTGGAATGAAACTTCGATGGTTTTCGACAGGTTCTATTTGGAATTTCAGTTAAGGTGATCCGACTTCCTCTGTTCCGTTTCTTCTGAAACGGAGGCACAATGAACGTGTATCGGCATGCTTGTGCGCGAGCGCACATATTCAGATATAAGGTACCAAATATATAAAAAACAGATAGAATTTAGCGAGTCAATAAATTGGCTTCTTAATTGTGTTTTGTTAAATCTTCACAATTTAAAGTTACCCAGGAAGAGTTCGTTTATTTCAAGTGCATAGCAAAATAGCAAAACGTGCACTCACTGAATAAATGAGCACAACTGCAAATGGCCAATGACGTTAAAAACTACCTTTGATCCATATTCATCGTTCGGGACTCCGTTTCACCGGGTGGAACCGGGTTAGGTTGATCTTCCGAATCATAAGCACGTTCATCGTGTTCAATAAGATGCTATTCAAGGAAAAAATGCAAGAAATACGGTTAGAAGTCGGGCCACAAGATACACCACTGGGAGTACACTTGATAGTACCAAGTACTGGGATTTACCTCACTTTTCGGCAATTCAGACCGCACCAATGGAACACCAGATGAACTACCCATAATAGGTGCCTCATGTGCACTAACTGAACTGCATTCTTCCGTTTTGCTTTCGATAGTTTTGATTTGATAGTTGATCGAAGAATACTCACACGTTCTCTCGTTCGAAACCCCGTCACCGTTGGTCTCGGTTTCATTCTCGAACAAAATCCTTGCGGGTAGACTTGGGTCAATCAAAAAAAGTTCCTCCATGTTGCATATATCCGTGATAAAATGTGATGATTCTTTTTTCTGGTCTATTCGGAAGAATCTTGTGGCAGCTGTGGTAGCTGGCGATGAAGAAAAGATGAGAAATAAATATTTCTCTTAGATTATCAAAAATTAGACAAATAGAAAGTACAATAAAAGGGCGATTGTAAAAGGACTGATTAATTACACTTGCCACAAAATGCGATATCCTCCGAGGGTAAACATTTATTGACAACTTGCATCTCAACTACTCTCTTTTATGAATGTACTTTGAAACGGTGGTCTTTCCAAAGTGAGTGTAGTGAGAAGCCTTAGGTTCTGAAACTAAGATACTCGTGATTTATGTTTGTGTGATGTGTTTGGGAAGCTAGTCACTGGAATAATGTGACGGGAATTTTCGAAGCTCCATGTATGAATACCGCCGATTCATTTTACGCATACTTTTTCATCAATTTTTTTTTCGGTTCTTCTATTCACCTACTGTACAATATTAGAGATACAGTCACTAGATAATAGGACTAACAAAAGGGAATCGTTCGTGTCGGTGCCTATTGATTTTGATGAAGGGCCATTGATTTATTCATTTTCCATTTATTCATGCTGCCTACTCATCAGTAGCGCAGTTTGATCTCGAAAATTGAATGTAAGTCATCTTGCACTGTCCAACATATCCTTTGGTTAAATAAAAATATAGTTTTATACTGCAGTCAAACTCTGCTATGTCGCACCCCTTGGGGTTTTGAAAAAGTGGGTAATTTCCAGGAGCTATGACATAGCAGGATAATCACTAGTAGATGCTACTAAGTAGCATAAAAATCGGTTGACAGTTTTGTGACAAAATAAACCGGATCGATGAAAAGTAGGGTAATTCTGTTACTTGTTCTCAATGTTTATAATTATGCACTGTTNNTATTTATGGCGGAATTTAAATCTACCGTCCTGCGTATCCTGTATGAACGAAGAAATTTAAATATTTTTTGACACCAGCTTAATGTCGGTACACTGCATGCGGTATTCAACCCTTTTTCAGTTTTACTTATCTAGTCATCCCGAAACTGCCTACCTTTCATTAAAGGAACTTTTTCTGCCCCAATTATCACATATTAATTTCAGATACTCCTCCATTCCGCTGCAATGTTAGGATAATCACATAATTTATTATATGACGTCAACCATAATATACAACTGTTTTGGCGATAATAATCACGTCATCAATAACCCATTCAAGGAAATCAAAGGTGAACCAGTTCGAATACAGAAGGAAATAACATCTAAAATGAGTGAAATATCTGTTACGGAGTACACTCGGAACATGGACTTCTTTCCCATATTGAAACTGATTGTTCGCTGCACAATCCATTCATGATTTTCTATTGAAAATTATGTACCAACGGTGATAAATTTTCTCCAGTCATGCTCCCACAGAGCAGTAACGTGACCCTCTCTTTGGATTTCTTGGACCCAGAAACTGTCTTTCCTTTTAGACTTAATTTTCCTTCTGGAAGCTGCCTGTAAAACAACGATGTTTCATGTACATTGAAAATATCACAGTTAGCATATCCATGTATCAACTGTGGTAACCCCGCTCGAAACTCGTCCACTGCATCACGTAGTACCGCTAGACTTTCCCCACAAACCTATGAAGTAATGCACATTAGTTGCTTGTTTCTTGGTTTATACGATCGAATACCATATCTGTCTGATCAGGAACGAAACCAACGTTTGGAAGCTTTGAAGTCATCATGATGCAATCTTTGTGCTAGCTGGATTGCCTTCTTACATGCGATGCTCTCCACCATTGAGAACTCTCCGTGCGTTTCCCTCGTATGAGTAAACCAAGCCAAATTTTCCTCATTCACTGCCTTGAACTTTTCTTTGGCTTTCAGGTGGCATCTTTCCTCAGATGCTTCAGCGTTCAAAAATTCTCCGACAGTTGTTTGATGGGATATTGCATTGTAGACAATTTTTCGTGAAATTCTAAGTGATTTGGCTACGGAGCTCTGAGTTGTACCCGGCTCTTTCAGCATTCCCAACACATTCTGCTTCTTTTTAGATGGTGAATGTTTGGATGAACCCATTCGGTTTCTCACAGACACCATGCACGACTAATGATGTTGGTTGTNGTTTCACTCCTTGGGAGACGCACTGCTGACGAGTCCGAAACCGGACGAAACAGCTGTTGGTTATCACAAACATTTCCATCGCATTCGAATACATGCAAACAGTGGGGAATTAACGATCTCCCAAAGAGTGAAACCAACAACCAATATCATCAACCGTGCCTGGTGCCTGTGAGAAACTGAATGGACTAATCCAAACATTCACCATCTAAATTGATTGAGCCATTCGCACAAGGTGGTAACTGTCGACCGTGTAGCTCAAGGATGAGGGTTTGAAGTCCCAACCGAAATGTTCGCGGTTCGAGTCCTGAAAGGGACACAAAAAGTACGAACTGCTGATGAGTCCCAAACGGAACGAAGCAGCTGCCCAGTTTTCTTTGTTGGTTATCAAAAACATTTCCATCGCATTTAAATACATTCTGCTCCTCTCTGATCGATAGCCGTTTGCACATTAAGACGTCAAATGACACTGTCTCCGATCACATATCGGTGTGTCTTCCTCGCTAGGATTATTCAATCAGTGAACAGTGCCATGAACGTGTCACACTAGGTGAAACGCCATTGGTTGAGTGCGACATTTCAGGGTGGATGGTCAATAGCTGTCCCGAATATTGATCAACAAACAAGTGAGTAGGTATCAGGAACTGCGACAACTGGGGGGTGCGACATTGCATAATCATAAATTACATTATTACGAATACGGTTGGTTTGGGTTTTCGAAGTAAGTGGGAGGATATTGGAAAATGCGACTTCTCAGGGGTGCGAAATAGCAGGAGATTGACTGTAATTAAACAATTTTAATCTTGAAATAATAAGATGGTAAAATAATGCTGCATTTTAGAGAGCAGAAGCTGAGTTTATTTAGTCAATTGCGATGGGGATGCTGATAAAAAATGAAGAAACATTGAAGTTCCCTTCATTTGACGAAATTCGAAAGGAAATCAATTTCCCTGTATCAACTCAAAATGATGCTTATCATTGAGAATGATTCCGGAGATTTAAACACTATGAGTGTAGATTATCTTTGATCTAAATACCAGAAACTCTCAACACAAAGTTTATTCATTCAAAGAGTACTATTTACTGTTTGAAGCGAAACTCTTCAAAGTGAAACATCAAGAGACGGAGTTAAAGTGAAACATGTATGAAAACAACATGATCAAGAGAAATTACATTACTATCTAAGCTGATATTGGTACGAAATAGGATGAGCAAAACCAGTGAAACACTAAATAAAGAATGATTACAGTCTTCTCAAGTTCTGCGATGTTTTCGAGGCTGACGAAATGAATATTCTTTGGAGATTGTCAATCACGACTCCAACATGAGGAATCTCCCTACGGGATGATCTTCGGATACACTCTCATGTTCAAAAATAATACATCGTTGCAAAAAGGAGCTACGTAGACCCAATTGCCAGTCAGAGCTCTTAACCCAGAAGAGACTAAAATCGGAGTACCCTATTCCGATTGGTCTCTGCAAAGGTGGGGGTGGGTGAGTTTGTATTGACAATGAACTCAGTCAACTCGGTAAAACCTGAATTAACGGCGACGGAAAAAAACATGCTGTATGCAGGTGTTAGTTTGTGGGTGTGTTTGGATAACGACATACGTTCAACGCGGATTCACAACAGATACATCATGCATTTTTAATGGTCTAAAAACTGGATACATTTCTGTCCTCAGGGGAATTAGGTGGTTGAAATGTATCTTATTTAAGCCGATGTGCATTGCTCATAAATATTGTAACATTCTTTTAAACATGCTATGAATCCTCATAAGAACGATTCATCTAACCATTCACAGCCGTGAAGAAACTCACATAGATTACTCGCATATTAGTTGTAAGCTTTGGATATGCAGGTGAAGTTGGGAATCATCAGAATACACGGTTTTTACAAATAGTAAGAACAATACAGAAGCAAATAGACCCTCTTTCGTTGATTCATCCACAGATCAATTCATCACAATCTATACAGCAACGTGTGGAATCTGTGGAATAAAAACTAATAGCAGAATGAGAAAATTGCAATTCAGTTCCATGACTGCGTATGGCTTACCCTTTGGTCATCACACATGCAGATGCAGTTCGTGGTTCAGGTCATTCGATAGGAGAACGAGATGACTGGTCATGGAAAAGGAGGTGTTTCGGGTGAGCTTGTAGAGAACTCTATTCGGATCGCTTCAGTTACGACAAAAGTGCCAACTCCAATCCCTTAACAGTGTGAATATAGCCGATGTGCGAGAAATGCATTGGCTACAGACGAAAGTGGTCTGATTCTACTGGATGTGAAAAAGATGTGGTGAAAAAGCTTGATCATTTCGGACGTTGAGTGGACGGGTTGGTGCTCGTGGGCTAATTCAGATGATCATATGCTCTTGTGGTCAATCACTATACGCTCATCCTTAGGGGCAAGTATATGCTCCTACTATAGTTTACAAGGGCGCCATCACCGTGCGTGTGACATGGTCATTTTTTTCAAAAAGTAAGCAACATGAGACATGACATTGTTCAAAAGCTCAATTATTTCGTCCTCCACAGAACATCATCATATTCGGTCTGATAAATTGGTCAGTGGATAAATCACCAAAAGTGTCCATGCTGGCAGCTAGGGTTTTCACTTACAGTTCTCGAGATCCATGCCACATATCTTATTAAGTTTATATGGCAGAATAAAATCCAGTGAAAAATGTGAAGCCATGACCTTTTCGAATATGTATTTCAAAATGACCACTCATTTAACAAGGCTGACAAAAAGTAACCTTTCTGTTAAGTAAAAAAGATTTCCTGTGAGTTTCGATGAAGGTTTTCTTTCTTGATCTATTCCTAAATGAGTATCATTATTCTTCAAAACTAAGCACCTTCTAAAACTGGAAATCCACAGAGAAACTATTGGGAATCTCATGTGTGTATGGCAGCCACTTAGGAATAACAACAAATTCATCAACATAGAAGGAAGAAAAACGTCGCGAGATATTAACATTTCGTTGAATCTTCTCAATCGCTGACTTAAAACCATCAGGCATATATATAGTATATAGGTCATTTGTTGCAAAATACCTCATGACAACATGACACAGTTGACCCCAATGCGTCTTTCAAACCACTTCTACGCAATCACAATGCTAAACCCTTGGCAATTACAGAAGCGCTGGTTATTCGATTATATCACCCGACTTTATGCTGTCAAAAGTTTTTGATGCAATATATGAATCCACTTACCATGGAGTTGATTTTCTACTTCTATGCTTGGTGATCTTTGTAAGCTTGTATACGTTCATGCACCATAATTGAACAAACCCATGTGCTATATATATGCCTGTTTGTTCTAGGTCGGCGATTGAGAAGATTAAACAAAATCCTAACATCTCGAGATGTTTGTCTTCTTTCTATATAGATGAAAAAGATAAAGAGGACTCAATGCTTCACCTAATAAGGAATAATTTGTTATCAGATATTTCTGGTAAACTCAAATTCATTTGTTTTTTTATGAAATTCCACATTTGATAGGTAGTGTCCCTTGTAGCAGTGTTTTAGGAGAACGTTGCTTTCCGGCTTCACAGCGTATGAAAAATTCGCTATCTTATTGAAATGCCTCATATATTGACTTCGATAGATTACACCCTAATCATATAAAGTGGTTTCTTTCCTTAGGATTTTGGACAAGAAACCTTTATCTGACAAGTTGTCATGATGAAACACTTGAAACCTCTTTATGCCGGTGAGGATGGATATGTTGAAAATCAAAACATAATATATCTGTTCTCTGATCTTAAAGATGCTGCAACTGAAGTCATTGGTGTTATTATTTTTGGTAAATAGTATATGAAGCAATAGAACAGATTTCTACGGGAGCTTACCATTGGTTCTGTGTGGTTCTTATCGCTCACCAGGCATCTGTGTACCATCTTCCTCTGTCAGTCAACCAACTATTTCACTTTTACTATTTATAAAATCTTTGCCATCCTAGTTCCACTTAGTTAGTAACTTAGAAGAGTATCCGTCTCGAGGAACAGTCATAGTGAATGTCGACAGAAGAGGACGTTGGGAGTACTCAAATTGTATCAGGATTCTGGCTGACAAATCTTACTCGAACAAAAAAGAACACAGCCCACAAAAGATAAACGTGTTGCAGAATAATACTGTTCCCAGCAACCTCCAGTCGACTTACAATCAATGAAAGCCCAAGATTTGGACAAGCAAAACGGGACACTATCACATCCGAAACTACTTGATTCTGTGTTAGGTGGTTCGGGTTGATCGGCCTGAACGGATCGGTTGAAAACCTCAATTGCTGCCCGAACCACACCCAAATCGGCGTTGAATCGTACGGAGACCGCACCGTAGAACAGAGCTGAAACGGGTCGAATGTAGATCAATGCCATTAAGTCAATGTTGTTTAAGTGCTGTTGAACTATTTCATTCACAAATGTTAAAGCAAGCATTCAAAATATATGGTAAATGCTTTCTTTCACATGGGGTTTGAACAGTAAAATGTTTCGTTATGCCAGAAATCATGACCGATGTTCTGTGTGTATGTGCCAATGGAAGATGAATGCAGTTCACACAGTGCGTGAACTGGAGTTTTTGCTTCAATGGAGGCGAGGAGACCGAGGCAGAGCGGGTGAGTGCAGTACACTCGTGAAGACCGATCACACTGTGTCTTGGCCTTAGAATCACTTCAGGCGGCAGACATTGAGGCAAACAGGTTTTGCATCTTTCGTGAACGACAGATTGGAACAAAATAATAATGATGGACTGGAAGCGAAAAACAGTGTATGCGTGTGCATGTAGTCGACAGTTTACGAGGAAGCACTCTATCACTACAAAACTGTTGATATTTGAGGCATACATCAATACACGAATAAAAACCAACCATCGAAACACTTTTTCATGGTCAGTAATTTTTGTTTCGAAGGTCAGAACTGTGCGTTAGTGTCCATAGATAGAGTTAGGCTATTCACAGATCAAAAGACGGCACACATTGCCAACGAAGTTTGTCTTGGATGGAATTGATCATCAGATCACCTCAGGATTATTGTCCTATTGTACGATTTTACGTAAATTCTGTATTGTAGTATTTATTAAACAGCTCTGCGCAGATATAATATATATATATATGGTCGTCGTATAGTTTTTGGTCGAGAAAGTGAACAGTTTTTCTTTAGCTGTTTCAACGGAGAGGGTGATACGGCTTCAAGAATACCTCGAATCGGACACCAAAATGGGGTTTATGGATCCTGAGATAGTGTTAAGCAATTTTTATTGTTCATGAACTTTCCGAAAAGTTTGGTGTGAGTGAATTCCCCAAAGGGGCGGAACCGATTAGTTGAGGATGGACCTTTAACGTTTACGCAACCAAATCAACAGGGTTTCTTTTTACGCTAAAATTCACACTTCTGTTCTGGCTTGCGGACGAAGCCTCTCATGATTTTTCTCTTCCAAACTGTCGGAAAATCTGTGGGTGGTAAATCTGTTACTCCCCGTGTTCCAACGAGTTGCAACCCTGATCTGGTTTAGTTTACCTGGAAAGCGACCACCAGAGTGTAACCGTTGCCAGGTACAAGCTACTTGATAGGGCCGTCAGTGAGCATTTGGTGACTGACACAAACCAAAGAGCTTCTCTGTTGAAGTGTGGAAAGGTCCTGAACCAGAGTTGCACCTCTAAATCACAACAACACAATAGAACGAGTAATCTGTATTCACAAAATTTTACCAGATGTATTTGCATAGTATAATTCTATGATTTGGAGAGGAGCGCTCGAAATAAAACCAGCGAGTCGGATGGCGAATTGAATTCATGCGACTTACCGGCTTGTCGGAGTGCGATCGCATCGTCTGGAATGGCTTCGTAGTCGTTCAAAGAAATGACAAAAATCAGCAATCGAGCCTGATCACCACCGGAAATCAGGAATGATCGATCGGGGCCGCTGTTGTGCAAAATGCGTGGAGTATTGCGCGCACGCACACAAGAAGAAGAAGAGGAATAACCATGAGGAAATAGAGAATGGTATGTGCATATGTACAGGGATTGGACATA